CGCGTAAAGTAGATTTCATAGTCTACGGCACATCCCTGGTTTGAACAAACCTTATTGTGACACAGAGTGGCACCACAAAAAAATTTCGCTCGCGGCGAAACATTTTTCCTTCCCATGGACTATACCTCCCGCTTTTCAATTTTGAAAATCTGGCAACCCTACCTGTGTGTAACAAACAAGCGTCTGCGGATCACACGGGGGCAACGCCACGAATACAGCGTCCATAACGTTTTTGCTCCTTGTTTATTGACGCCTCCACCTCCTTGTCCTGAATCCTGATGAATATTTATTGTTATATTCTAGGATTATTTTGCAATTTCCATTTCGTAAAATATCGATTATTATCGATAATATTTAACTAAAAATTTTAGAAAGACTGATAAGAATTAATTTTTTTGGGATGGGGTATCAAGCCCAAGCCAGAACCCGGGTAGGTACAAAAAAATAATTGATAAGTCAGGTGGAATAATCCAATGATACATGGCCCTTCGCCCTCCACAGTTGATTTGTAGGCTGTATCACAATTAAGCTGTTTCTGTAAGATTTTGAAAGACACAGTGTTTAATCTAGATTGTTAAATAATAGCTATTTATATAAATAGCATTAAATAACAAGTAGGTACCTACAATAAAGAAAGGCTTATTGTACGAATAATTTTATGACCGAGCGAGCATGCGAGCGAGGCTATTAAATAATACGTCAACACTCAATAAAGCCTGTTTATGTAAGCGTAATAGGTACCTACATAAGGTAAATTTAATGCGTTTATGTAAATTTCCATCTTGGTGATAAATAAAATAATTATTGTACCATTTTTCCTTTCAACAGTTTAAACAGTTCATTTTATAAACTGTACTCTGATGGTATCTTTTGCTCTAATTTTCTTTTCCACTCAAAAAAGTCTTCCTTATTATTAAATGTTAAATTCTTGGGGTCTAAGTTGTTTCCGTGAAAATTTTTATAATATGTAAAACAATAATGTCTTTGCTGTCGGTAATAAAATCACAGTTTAATGGGCATCTTACTTCATTATTTTTGTAGATGTATTTTTGTTGTGAATTGTGCTCTCCATGTGTTTTTTTAGGTGATAATTGCTCGAAAACTCCCTCTCATGTCATTGATAATGATAATAAGACAAACTATCGAATTATAATTAATAATTTTGTGTCAAATAAATAAAGAGGCGGTAAACAAAAATGCTAGTGAACCTCCGTTTGTCGCGTCGCGCCAAATTTTAAAAGTTTCGTTCGTACACTTTCGATCATATTCGTGGCGTTGCCTCCGTGTGATCCGCAGACGCTTGTGTGTAACAAAACCCCCCTTACCCCCCCAACCCAGGCCAAACAAACAGTTGTGACGTAAGCAGGATGGCGTTTCTCGCCTTGACGTAGGCTGTTTAAACAGCTGACGACAGTCATGGTTGAAAACTTGAAAACCAATATGGCGACGATTGCCAAAAACGAGGCCGATAAGCACACCTTAGAGTGTGTATTCTCATTGGGCAACCTTAGGCCAGGTATTAGAGAGAATTGCAAGTGCGTGTCTTATTAAGGCAAGCCTTATTTTTACACCTGCGCATGCGCAGTTTCCATTTGGAATAAGGACAGCTTTATTAAAGATAAGGATCTGATGCCTTATTTAGGAGAAAATAAGACCTGCCTTACCTTTGCCTTATTTAAAAGTTCTTAGGGTGGGTATTATAAAACTACTTTCAGAGTTAACTTAAAGTTAACTTCTGGAATTACTTGTAATTCAAAAAGTTAACTTTAAGTTAACTGTCAGAGCAGTTTTATAATACCCGCCCTTAGTCGATCGATGATGATCGGTAGCAATCGCGAACTGATGTTTGTTGTGTTTTGTGTTTATAACCATAGACTTTAGATTGGGAGTGAACTCTGCGCCTACCGGTAGGTGCTGTTTGTTTCATTGATTGTGTGCCTACCGTTTATGTATACCGCGAAAACATTATGGTAGGTCCCCAATTGCCATATGATATAACGCCTATCGGTAGGTACTCTTTTTTGAAAGAGTCCTGAACCTACCGGTAGGTTCATATTAATTCAAGAATCCGTCGCCTACCCTACCTATCTAACCTAACTGTCAGGGATGTGCGTCTACAAGTAGACTTTCATTGTCTACTTTACGTGTAGATAATGTAGACAATGTAGACAACGTGTCAACAATGTAAAATAATGTAAATGACGTTTAATTCTAACCTCTCACTTTCCTTTTTTTAATTTTTTTTTAATTTTATTATTGGTTTTCCTGATTTTTTATAATCAGTGAATGCTGATATCGAAGTGATAGTGATAGTATAGTAACTTTTTATATTTTTTTTCGAATTTTTTAAAATAAGTTATTGTTTACGCCGCATGTAGACAAGTGTAGACAAATGCTCACGTAAATAATTCGAATTGTCTACGCGTAGACAATCAATTGTTTACGTTGACATTGTCTACAGGCACATCACTGCTAACTGTACCTGCATTTACAAAAAGGTGACATATTTGAAAATGATTTTCCAAGTTTTTGGTGGATTTATGCTTCCGAGGATCTTATCTTTGAAGTTTGGCGAGCGGAGCGAGCAATCAGAGATTTAAAAATGATTAAAATTTCAAGGTGTTATATTTAATAAAGGTTTTTCACGTTTTTGGTGGATTTGCGCTCCCAAGGATCCTCTCTTTGAGGTTTGGCGAGAGCAATCGAAGACTCAAAAACAAACTCAAGGTGTGTGCAGAAAGATTTTCAATATAGAATATAGGTTGCCGTCTAGCGAATGATGCAGATTCGAAACATCAACAAGTGTAAAGCCCAAATTGGAAAAATGTTAAGATACTAATAAAGGCTTATATGGACGAATTTCTTAATGACTATACTATTACTAACAAACAATATTTTACCAACGTATTTAGCATTAGCAAGAGCTGTCTGGTAGGATATAGGATATACGGATTCTAAAGTAATAAAACACCTTCCGTAGGCGCTTGATCAATTGACGAAAAAGGACCTACCCTACCAGTAGGCGCACAATCGGTGGATAAAACAGGACCTACTGGTAGGCGTACGATCGTTGGATAACAAAGGACCTACCGGTAGGCGTAGGATTCACTCCCTTTTAGATTCATGACAACAAATTTTGGCTTTTCTTGAATTTTTTTTTCCAAACTTGGAGAAATCAAGGCACAGAAAAGAGGCAGACTAAGGTTTACGTATAAAGATGAACTGATTTTGCTTAGAGAATTTGTGTCACATTTCTTCCGCTGTTCTACGATTTCACACATACCTACTATTTAAATATTATGGACAAATAATTTCTTATTTTCAAAATATCTAAGCATACATTCCACAGAAAGAAAACACTTCAAGTTCGAAACTTGAAAAATAAACATTAACAAAAATTCAAGATTTTCAGGTTAGAAATAAGGCATCAGCTCCCAGTCGTTTCTGGAAATTTGCAATATCTAAATAAGGTTTTAGCCTTATTAAGGTTGATTTGCAATATCTCTCTATTCATAAGCCTAGTACTCATAACTGCGAAATTCGAAGTTTTTTGACATTGCTTCGACAATTAGACGTTTGATACACGCATAAACCGTCAAATTGTCAACGCAATGTCAAAAAAATGCGAATTTCGCAGTTATGAGTACTAGGCTATAGACGGGTGCTTGGCTCAAGCTCCGATTTTTGACAAATGTGAGCATCGTTCCTTGCTGTTTGGAAACGTAAATATGGCGTCAAGTCGAACTCGAGCCAAGACTCCAAGGACGTTTTACAGCTTGCAAGAAAACTTGAATGCAATTTTTTGCATGCAAAAAAATTGCATTCAAGGGAGTTGGTTCTAGTGAATGTAGCCCCGTTTGTGTTTGTGTCAAATGTTTGTGTGCCTCTTGTCGGCCATATTTGTGTCACGTGTTTTGGATAGTCTAATAGGTATATATATTTTTTAAAATGTTCAATCTTGAGATATAACAAGAAATAATAAATAGCCACCCACGGATGTGACAGCTGATAGGTTGACGCGTACGTACAGCTCGGGAGCTCAACGCCCCGAGTAGCTCCGGGCGTCACACTCCCATACTGGGAAAGCGGCTTTGAACTACTCATTTCTGTTATCCCCTGCCCCCTCGTGCACCAACATTTATTCTGGTGTTCCATGCTTCTGAAGTGCGAAATGGTGGGGGTTAAGACGAAAGCGTTCCAGTGCTGTTTATGTCGAACAGTTCAAGAGCGTCACACTCCAGGAGCATGACACTCTAACAATTTAGACACTGGAAAGCCAAGCTGGAAAGCAGCTCTTGGCCTCGTTTTTACTAATCGCCGCTATATTGGTGTGATATAATAGGTCTGTTTCTGCAGAAATCACAAACCAGTCAGAGCGAATTTCATTGGGTGAAAACAGTCAGAAAACTAGTTTCACCCAATGAAATTCACTCTTACTAGTTTGTGATTTCTGCAGAAACAGACCTACCATTTCCGACGAATCCGACGTCATCATAACTAGTGGTCAGCTGTTTAAACAGCCTACGTCAAGGCGAAAAATAACATGCTGCCTACGTCACAACTGCTATTTTGGTTTGGCGGAAGGGGGGGGGGAGTTGTTACATACAGGCTGTATGAGTCATTATGAGGAAGGCCATCCTGTACCTGTAGTAGTAGTGTGTATCATCCTTGGGTGCAAGCGAATGGTCTTTGGCTAAGGTCTTTGGTGTAAACGACCATTAAATAGGTCTGTTTCTGCAGAAATGACAAACCAGTCAGAGTGAATTACATTAACCCTTTTCACGTGGCTCCGGTTTAACAAACCGCAACATACCGCTCAAATTCGAGTGATATCGATCACGTCACTTTGTAACGGGGTTTAGAAAACGGTATGTTATACTTGACATACCGCTACTAACCGTTTTGTAACCCGGTTAGTTTAAACGGAGCCACGTGAAAAGGACTTTTAGGTCTGTTTCTGCAGAAATCACAAACCAGTCAGCGCGAATTTCATTGGTTGAGAACAGTCAGACTCAGAAACAGTGAGAAAACGAGTTTTAACCAATGAAATTCACTCTGACTGGTTTGTGATTTCTGCAGAAACAGACCTATAGAATGAAACTAGTTTCTGACTGTTTTCAACCAATGAAATTCGCTCTGACTGGTTTGAGATTTCTGGAGAAACAGACCTACTATTATTTTGTATCAAGTAGTATGTTTTCGAACGCCTGCAATCTGATTTGAACGAAATCTCGACATTGATCTCGACAGATTACAAGATGCACAAAACTGCAAACTGTCAACACAACTGCCTCCCCCAGTGAGTTTTTTCATTTATTTTGCAAAATAAATAAACTAAACCGATTTCATTGATCCATTCCTTTCATTTCTAGTCAAAATCGAGTCTTAACTCTGTGCCATGTCTCAACAAGAAAGGTATGTTCCCAACCCTCAATATTCACTAGCTTTCAATACATGTAATCGATTTTATTTGAAAATTTTAGAGTCCAAGAAGAGCTGGAAGCTCTTGAAGCTATTCTAATGGATGATATCTCTATAACTTATAATGCTAAGTAAGTATTAATTAAACTAAATAAAATACATCATTCCTCATTATATTCCCAATGTAGAGGTTGTGCCGAACTAGTCAAATCCGTAATATTCCCATCTACAGCCAATGAAGTCGACAAACAATATGTTTGTGTTACATTGGAGGTGGAACTGCCCCAAGACTATCCAGATTGTAAGCCCGTTACAAGGTTGAAAAGTCCTAGAGGCTTAGATGAGTCCACTGTTGACCATTTGTATAAGGAAATTGCTAACAAGTGTGAAGAATATATTGGACATGCTGTTATATATGAGTTGATTGAGGTAAGTTTTGGTAGAGAGCAACACCAATTCTAATTCTACAACAGAAAGAAATTGAGCATATCTACCATTTATTGCAAAACCATGAGACATCTTGATTAGATTCAGAGTTCTCTGTTAGATAATCTAATTAATTCTCAGTAATTTGAAAAACAAGTACATTGTATTTTTAATCTGAATTGAAACACTTAAAAAACATCTAAAATCTGTTTTTTTTTTTTAAAGGTAAAAGTCAAAATGACATTATGTTGGCAATGCAATGTAAAATTGTCAATGCTTTCAAATTTTTTGTGTAGAAAAGGCTTGTGTTGCCAACAAAGTTACTAAATTTTTGACTTGGGGAATTATCTTTAAAAAAAAAACAGACTTTTTTTTTTACTCGGCATTTATTTATTTTATGTCCGATTGACCAATAAAGTGCTATTTATAGAACAGTTCTGCGTCAATAAAGTAGCACTTTATTGTACTAGTAAAATAAAGTGCTACTTTATTGCCTACCTGGACTACCTGATAAGGTGAAACAGGTCCTGACAACCTGCCAAAGTGAAACAGGTCCTGACAACCTGCCAAGGTGAAACAGGTATATCTACGCGAATTTTACTTTTTTCAATCAATTTCATTTAATTTTTAACAAAATCCAGTCAGAATCGTACCTAAAATCATGTATATAATGCTTACATAAACAGGCTTTATTGACTCATTATTTAATAGCCTCGCTCGCAAGCTCCCTCGGCCATAAAATTATTCATACAATAAAGCCTTACTTTATGTACTTGTTATATAAATAGCTATTTTATTAAATAATTTATTTATTTATGTCCGACTAGCATTACCCGTCACGGCTTCGCCCGCGATTTTTCAACTTATTAGGCTGTGTAGGTATTATCTATGGTACCTATGTGTCTATGAAAAATGTTGTGTTTGACAGTGCTTTGGCAGTATGCTTTGTTTTCGATGACGACAAACCATCGATTACTTCTGGGGATGCCTCTTGATATTACCCTACTCAGTTGAGATAATGACACCCTCCAGTCATAATTTGCGTGTTCGTATAATCGTCTTCAATGGCCTGGTTGATTATATTATTATTATTTAAAATTTATATTAAATGCTGATGCCGTGCAGTTGGTGAGGTGACTGATTGACATGGTTCCGGACACTCTGCTGACGCTGAGCTACTTACTGAATGGATTGTGCTTATTGTGATTATGCAATGTTATGTATGTACGCTTGTTGGTTGTTCTGCCAATATCTTTGGTTGTGCCATGAAAGGATTTATGTATTCAAGTCGCTAGTTGGTTCTACTATGAAAGGATTTTGCAAAAAATTAATTTTAAACAGCGAAGTTGTTACGTGTAATGTAGACATGTTTCACATATGCGGCTAGCTAAAATCCGATTGAAGCCAAATTTCGTAAAACCGAAAAATTAGTTTTTAGATATTCATCTCAGAAGTATTTCGTAAAAAGAATGGCGTCGATATCTTATTTTATTATCAAGTTATGACAGCTTAAATGAATTTGTAACGAAATTTTTTGTGTAACCTTTTTTGCCCCTTCCACTTTGAATTTCAAAAAAAGCATGAATTTGTTTTAAGGTATTTATGTAAAGAATATTTTAGTACAAAAACGAAGTCGATATCTTAATTAGAAGCCGAGAAAACTGAAAAAACATGAATTTTTAAAAAAATTGTTTTTAACCCTTTAAAATTAAAATTTTTCAAAATCCTTTCTTAGCACACCTACAAATACGTAACAGAACATATCCTGAAAATTTCATGTCTCTAACTTAAATAGTTTTGGCTGGGCGTTGATAATCAGTCAGGACAAGCTCTTTTATATATATAGATTGACCAATAAAGTGCTATTTTTAAAACAGTTTTGCGACAATAAAGTAGCACTTTATTTTGCTAGTAAAATGCTACTTTATTTACGACTAATGTGTAATGTGCGTATTATATTTGTGATTTTGGCAGTATCTTTGTATTATCCCGTCCACCTTTCATTCTTTTCAACAAGTCACTCAGTTTGGGTGAATTTCCTAAACTCTGGAAGCAGAGCTTCACCATACCCATTCATAAATCTGGCGATAAAATGGATATTTCAAAATACAGACCCATTATCATCCAAAACACCTTCCCAAAGGTATTTGAGAGCATAGTGACAAAGTTTTTAACTCCAAAAATCAATCCCTGTCTAATTGAGCAGCAGACCGGTTTCCGTCCAAAATGCTCAACTGAAACCAATCTCCTGTCCTACCAGGACAAAGTTTCAAGAATTCTTGAGGATGGCGAATCAGTTCACTCCATATATACCGATTTTGCAAAGGCCTTTGACCGTGTCAACCATGCCGTTCTGCTTGCTAAGCTTGAAAGTGCTGGAATCTCCGGTACTTTGTTGAAGTGGATTAGCGACTATCTTGGGGAGAGAACTCAAATAATCAAAGTTAACAACTTCTTCTCACACGAAATTGACATCCCATCGGGCGTTCCACAGGGTTCTCACTTGGGACCTCTGCTGTTCAACGTTTTTATTAACGATATCAAGTCTTGTTTTATTAACAGTGAGTTCCTGTGCTTTGCGGATGATTTAAAGGTGTTCACCCGGGTCTCTTCTATTGAAGACTGTGCCAGACTACAATCTGACCTCGACAGACTCTCTGAGTGGTGCGCTTTGAGCGGCATGGAGCTCAATGCTTCCAAATGCAAAGCCATTGTTTTCTCCAAGGGTCGTAGCCCTCCACAATTCGCGTACCATATAAACAACATTCCGCTTGAAATTGTCTCACAACAACGAGATCTTGGTGTCATTTTTGACAGCAGTCTCAATTTTATCACCCATATTTCAGACATCACAACAAGGTCGTTAAAACTTGTAGGCTTCATTAAGAGGTGTTCGAGAGATTTTACAAGCATAGATTCTATCAGATACCTTTATTGCTCAATGGTGAGGCCCCTGATGGAGTAATGCTCCTCTGTCTGGTCACCAATGTATTCTAATCATATCAGAGCCCTAGAGCTAGTGCAGCGCAAATTCGTACGTTATTTAGCCTTCAAGGCAGGTATTCCTTCGCTTGAGAACTATGTATATGACTATGACGACCTATACAGACGCTTCAATCTACAACCCTTGGCAGCTAGACGCAATCAAAGAGATTTATATACTTTTTACAAGGTACTGAACTCCATTAGTGATTCCGCATACCTACTGTCCAGAATAGGGCTTCACGTCCCAGCAAGGGACACCCGCTCTGCCATAACCTTCTCAGAAAGAAATCACCGTACAAACTATGGTTTCAATACATTCATCTCCAGAACTTCTCGATTATGTAACACCCATGGTAGCCTGGATTTTTTTGGACCCATAAATAGCTTTAAAAGAGAGCTTAACTCTCTAATGTAATTCTCCTCGTTTGTTTGTGATGCCAAGTTCGATAGCTAAGAATTTCTAGTCATCTTGATCAGTCATTATTTATGTTTGTCCTCTATTTTCTTATACCTATAACTGATTTAATGTTTTACTGTTAATAATTTATATGTATTTTTATCCTGTTACTACGCCAAGTATTACTGGCCTATGTTTATTTAGTTGTAAGGTACTTAATGTTTCTTGTTGTTTTTTTTTTTTCTTTTGAAACTTTTAATGGGTCTTGCCCGTAAATAAATAAATAAATAAATAAATAAATAATGACATATGTTATTCCTCCAGGGATTAATGACAAGTAGCGGGATTAATGGTCATTATTCCACAAAAGTGTCAGTGTCAAACGTGTAGTGCTTGTGGATTTGTATTGAAAGTTATGAGACAGATGAAATTTCTTGAAAATCTCAAATAAATTAATTTGTCGTAAATAAAGTAGAGTATACTACTCGCAATAATGGCTATTATTCCCTCGAAATGTTACTCCCTCGCCGCTAACGCGGCTCAGTTCGTAAATATTCCTCGGGAATAATAGCTATCATTATTGACTCGTGGTATAATCTACTATTATTGCCTACCCGGACTACCTGATAACCTCCCAAGGTGAAACAGGTCCTGACAACCTGCCAAGGTGCAACAGGTATACCTAGGCAAATTTTAAATTTTTTCATGAAATTTTTACAATTTTTAACAAAAACCAGTCGCAATCGTACATAAAATCATGTATATAATGCTCAGATAAACTAAGGCTTTATTGTACGAATAATTTTATGGCCGAGCGAGCTTGCGAGCGAGTTATATAAATTATATTGAATGCACAATATACAGCAAATAATCAACAAATAATATGATATTTTCGAACACTGCAAAAGCACCTAGCTGAGTTAACAACTGTATGTGCAGTGAGCAGATTTACACACTGAAAATTAGGGCAGACAAATGATATGCAATTTTACTTAACTTAAATTCAACTAGATAGATGACTAGGTAGATATTAAGAGTTATATGACTATACACAAATTGAGTGTCGTTTTTAAATATATAGTTTCTACAAGCCGAATTAAATCTGTTCAGGTTCTTAATAGTTCTAACATTCTCTGGGAACAAGTTATAGAATTTTGGACCTAAATAACTAATAAATCTTTGATTCATACTTTTGTGGCTAATTGGAATTTGTAATTTGTTCATTGTTATACTTCTACTCGCATGGCAATGGCTCACATACTTCTTAAGGCTCTCTACCCTATAAATATATATAAGAGCATACAGAAAGAACATACAGCGACCTAACATTGAATATATTTTCGTTGTACAGAAGATTTGTTGAATAACGTTTTTCTTTTTTATTTATAACCTTTAGAATATAGTTTTGCGGTACATTGAGCTGTAGGGTGGCGGAACTATAAAGTCCACCCCATTATACCATATCTAATCAATGACTCGACCAGTGCCTTATAAATCATTGTAAGTAGTTGCCTAGACCTCACCCAATGTGTAAAATTTATAAATATAGTATGGTGTAGATCAAGACTTATTTTGACTTTGCCTCCCACTTCGGTGTCACAAGCTGAATTTTTTAGGGATG